CAATTTAGTTTTTTTCTTTATTGGATTAGTTAATTAGTTCATTCAAATAATTTAATTTCAATTGTTCAAATAAAATTAAAATTAGTTAATTTTGAAACATAATTAGTTTACGATCTATATAAATAATACTTAATTTTTATTATTATATTATTTAAATTAACTAACACTGTTGTCAAAGTAAAATTAGCTCATCAACATCGTCACCATATCTAAGTATGGATATAAGTTATTCACCATGGTTTGCATGCCACACTTCTTGTTAGGCAAGCTCTTTCTCAAGGATTAATAACCATCAAAGGCATCAATTGTAGTCTCTTCTAGTGGGGAATGAGATTCACCATTAAGCAATATTGTAATAAACGTATCTAGTTAAGTGTTCAAATTCAACTTAAGAAGTTCTTGAAAAGAGATAGATAACCAGATATTTTATTTGATGAAAAGTTGACTAAATCATGTCTTAACGACCTGCCTCTATGCTAGAATAAGAAATAGAAGGTTCTCTAAAGTTAGCTAATGGTGTAGGTACACGATACATAGGTACAGGCATTTTTGCAGGAAGATTTGGCATTGTTGTCTCAAACTTTAAAACCTGAATTGCTAGCCGAATTGATGGCCTTAAGCTGCTATCAGGGTGAGAGCACCACATTCCAACAATCATCAAACATTCTGCTTGTTTCTCATCAAAATCCTTCCTCACTCTCTCATCAACACCGGAATGAAGTCTTCCTTTCCCGTAAAGATCCCAAACCCACTCCACCAACCCCAAATCAGACTCTTCCCCCATTCGATCTGTAGATTTTCTTCCAGTAGCAATCTCTAATATCACCACCCCAAAACTAAACACATCTGACTCTTTACTTGCCTTCCTTGTACTTATGTACTCTGGAGCCAAGTAGCCAAAAGTACCTGCCAACCCTGTCGTAATTCGACCTAACTCATGGTTCATCAACTTAGCCAACCCAAAGTCACCAAGCTTAACATTAAAACTGGAATCCAACATTACATTACTGGACTTAATATCCCTATGCACCACACACTGCTCCCACTCTTCGTGAAGATACAGAATTGCCGAGGCCAATCCAAGTGTTATTCTATACCTTATATGCCAAGGAAAAGGACTTTTTTTGCCAAAGAGATGAGAATCAAGACTACCATTTGACATGAACTCATAAACAAGCAAGAACTCGCTCCTTTCATGACACCAACCAATAAGCTGCACCAAATTTCGATGCCTTAACTGACTAATGGTCTTCACCTCTATTACATACTCCTTTCTTCCTTGTTTTGATCCTTTAGAAATTTTCTTTACAGCAATCAACATGTCTACATCGGCTAGATAGCCTCTATAAACTACACCAAAACCTCCTTCACCCAATTTCCTATCTTGAGAGAAATCGTTAGTAGCAGAGGCAAGATATTGGTATGAAAACCTTCGCGGTCCGGTGCCCATCTCAAAATCATCATTGATAGATGTTAAATTTGTTACCTCTGCCCTTTTAGTTACCTTCTTTCTTTGCCTTATAATCACATATGCTAAAAGTGTTCCAATGAGAAGAACAATCACTAGTACTGCAATAGCAACAACTATTTTGATCTTTCTTGATGAATTCTCATTGGTTTCCTTAGCATCCAAACTTGAATTGAATTTCTAAGATTTGAGTGTGTGTTGTCCAGCTACACCTCCTGTAGAAGCTGAAAAGCCTATTGTCACCCAATCGTCTGAAACATTCCTTAAATCAACTAGGTAATAAAGGGTTGAATTCTCTTGAGGATTTTTCTTGTTTTGATAGCTCCATGAGACACTTAAATTCTTGGTTGTAGAATTATAAGTAATCAATACATCAGCAGTATCCCTAATGTGAAAACTTGCATTCTAGGGAGTGTAAATGACAGAGCATATAGAATTGATATTGATACCCACATGAGTTTGGACCTCCATAGGATCCCATTCAGGGTTCCGGTAAGTGTCAAATTCCACTGAGATGATCCTATTTGAAGAGGAATCTCTTGTTGTGGTGTTGAATAGGCCAAGGTAGCCACCACCAGAGTTGGGTGGGATTTGAAATCCAACAGGAGCAAGGAAGAACTCAATTCCATCATTGGTCATATTTGGACCCGACACATTAATGCTGAAGGAGAAATGACAAGTAAAGTCTGAAAGCTTTCCCGAGTTGGAGTCCCACATCAAGACTTCATTTGCATATGTGACCCAACCAACACGAAAGGGTTCAACCTTGCTGGTTAACTCCACCATTCCAGAGGAAGACTCTGCATCTCCTTGGTAGAGAATGTAATTGGGACTAGGGGTAAAGTTGGGTATCTGAAAACTTATTGGATATGAAGATGGAAGAAGAAGAAGCAGAAGAATAAAGGAAACACATTTTGAACTTTCCATGGCTTGGTTGATGGTAGGAAGTCTATGAAAATTATCACATATATGTTAATTTCTATAACACTGGTTGGTCAAGTCATCCATACTTGATTGAAAATTGTAACCATTGTATGTAATCCACATTGACTAATAAATCAATCACAAAATTAGTGGCACGATTAATCCAACATTGACCAATTAATCCAACATTGACCAATAAATCAATCACAAAGTCAGTGGCATGATTAATCCAACATTGACCAATAAATCAATCATAAAGTCGGTGGCATGATTAGTCTAACATTGACCAACAAATCAATCACAAAATCAGTGGCGTGATTAATGCAACATTGACCAACAAATCAATAACAAGTGATAACTATTAGTTGTTTCTAAATAATTAAACTAAAACAAAACATAAATTAAGAATCTTATAAATCAAATATTTTTAGTCTAGACTTGTAAAATGAATATATGTGGGTTGAAATATCAATAATGCCATAAATAAATTAATTTAGGCAACATTTGGTATTATTGTATACAACAGTTTTTTAAATAACATATTTTTTAAAAATGTAAATTTAATACATAATTAACTAATTTTAATTAATATTTTATATATTTTTAATAATTTTAAATAATATTTTATAACTTTTTGAGAGAATAAAACGAAAAAAAAAAAAAAAAAAAACCCTATGGCTAAAGTATTACAATTCCAAACAAAGAAATTTATTAATGATACTTTTGATACTAAGCTCCAAGATGGCAAAAGAAAATATCAATTCATACTAAAATGAATATTTCTACATGAAATGATAAAGGGTAAATTTAATGAGAATATAAAAAAAAATTTAGAATGTTATGGTACTATTTTTTTTCTCCAAAATATATACTAAATTTTGTTTTATATTTAATTGCTGTATAATTTCAAAGGTCATTAATTTCTCCTTTCTCATCTTAACCTTTGTGCACGGTAAAACAATCCCGGATTACGTGTTAGTGAAAAATACTGTTTTGCAATCAAACATTGGGTATGGTGATTGTAGGAATTACATAACTGTCGTAAATATCTTATACTTGGCCCGTGGATCTTTATCGAGTATACCCAGTCGGCCAGTCCACTGAAACTAGCATCATAGAATTGGGCGAAAAAAAATCTTGAAGTATAATATATATCTGCATGTCTTAAAATATACTTTTAAAGACCTTAGTATGATAACGATTCTGGTGTATACTTCGTAAATGTCAGAGCAACAAAACCATCAAAGATATCACAGTTAAAGCCCAGGACCAAAATTTAAAACCATATATTTAATCATGCAGAGGCTGTCACTGGTAATAGTCCGTTGTGCCTAAGCAGTGCCTCTGGTGAAGGTTCAGTGCCTCTGGTGAAGGTTCATGACCTCGGAATTCAATAAAGACCTGGATGACACGGTTAAAGCGTTCGCTTAACACATTTTCATTCAACAGAAAAGAAATAATGATGTCAAAAGTCACAACGTAACGTAACGAATACGTGTTACATAATGTTTCTAATAAACAAATCAACGAAAAAAGAGAAAGCTGGCTACAGCTCATCATAAAGTCTGCATTGACTAACCTCTAGTGGTGCTTTCCCACCTCCACGAGCAAGAATTGTCTCTTGGAACTTCCAGCCCGTTTCTGTAACAGCCTGTTGAATACAAATATACACAGTTGTTTATGGATTAAATGAGAAAAGATTAAGTTAAGGTGTGTGTTAGATGCTCCCACACACTCAAAAATGCAAGGCAAATCCAACATCATTAACACCAACATCGAACAGCTCTTTCAACTATTGACTTTGCTTTTTCCTTAGCTCTGGAACATTTTTGGTAATTAACTATGGTGAAAAAGTCTTTTCTAACTTGAGCTTGCAGTGCACATGGTGCCCAGTTTGGATCAATTTTAAAATTGTCCAAATAATGTTCTGCTAGCCATTGTGCAGAGAAGTTTTTATTCTCTGTCTTTTTCCCACAATTATGCCCATATTTCAAAGTCTTGATCTGCCAAGTTGTGTCTTGGTCTGCCTTACAATCAGCGAGTGATGCCCGCATTTCCCAAGGACAATTCTCTTCCTTACAAATTGCCTTAACCCTTTTCTTATCATTCTTTTCAAACTTAACTTCCACCCTATTCATCCTTGCTTCTTGTTTAATAGCTTGTTTCAATAATTCCCTATCTTTGAATAACATTCCTACAACCAACTTTAGTTTCTCCATGTCAACACTCTCATTGAACTCTGGATACCTTCTCTTAGAAGTGCCATCATCGTCAGACTCATATAGGCTATGTAGTTCATGTGAGTTATCAGTATTAAGTCCTTCATTTTCTGGAATATTACTAGTAGGATAACCTCCAATCAAAATTGTAG